GAGGATACTGACGCTAAGATTCTAGTCAGTCCTTATATATGCTGGACATCTGGGCTGAAAGTCACATGACTAATGACACCGGGATTCATGTACCGGTTCACGTAGAAGGCAAGAACGATATTATTAAGATCCAGCGAAGGACAGACAACAAAGAATGATAAGTTCGGCAGGAGTGTTGGTTGACCTAGAGCACTGAACAGCACCAGGATATCACTAAGATTTACCAATGTATAATTTTGTGTTTATATACATAACTGTACATATATACATTTGTGATGATTAGGTAGAAGGAAAAATAGGCAAATAGGTTATTCAGTCAGGTTAATTAAATATACATCCACATTATACCGATAACTTCTATGCATTTTTTTTTTTTTTGCCGGTTGGGGAAACTCTGGCCATAGACGATCACATAGCTTCTCATAATAAATACTAATTTACAGTCTCAACGAAAACGTAACCTAACCTAACCTAAACTAACCTAACCTTATTTAACGTAACGTAACCATACCTATCCTAAGGTCAACAATTGCGTTATTACATCAACAAATAAAAATTATGAGAGATAGAACTGTCTGTGTTATGAGCTATCTTATGATGGTAAACGACGTCTGAAATGAAACAACAAATTTTATCATGACGCAAATGAACAATAAGACAGAAGGAATATAGCTGGAGATAGATGAACTTATAAACAAACAAGGAAGGAGACAACACAAAATAGATAAATTGGAGATAAAGAGAATAAACGATAAATGGAGAATGGCAAGGGAGAAAAATTTAATAATACCATAAACGATAAAGTGCTTAAGAAAATCGAAATAAGGGAGAGAGCATAACGAAGTCAATATAAAAAATACAATGTATGTAACAGGCAAATATATCAAGGACTTTTGGAAGAGACTGAATATAACACAGTCATCTGGGAGGTTAAGAAATGTTGATGTGGTGTTCGTGGGAAACTAAAAGAATGTTATTATGTTCCTATTTTCATTTATGTTGAGAATGATTATTATTTTTATTATTATTATTATTATTATTATTATTATTATTATTATTATTATTATTATTATTATTATTATTATTATTATTATTATTATTATTATTATTATTATTATTATTATTATTATTATTATTATTATTATTATTATTATTATTGTGTCCGACAGTGTAAAAAAAATTGGTTGTTACAAGAGTATTTATGACATTATCGCAGAAGTTACCTAAAAGTTGACTACTAAAGGTAAGATTAACACTGCGAGGTAAAGAGCAGAGGCAAGGGGGTTTAAATACGACTACTGATTCAATAGAAAGATGACACATGGGATGATATGGTTATGTGCTATGTAATGCTCCTTCCCTCACTATTCTTCAAGATAGTGATGCTCTTTTACGTAGGTGGTACATGAAAAGGGTTGGATCATATTACGTTGATTCTTTTATCTTAATGTCTAGACAAGTGAGCTTAACGTGTCAAAGGCTTGATTGTAAACATATAGATTCAAGGATGCATATAATAACTTCACACAGTAAACAACATTGACACTTATTGAGGAATGTCATCTAAATCAGACATATGAAACGCTGTCTTGAGTCTGTTCGTACACTTTTCATGTATATTGTGTTTAATATAGCTTAGGAAGGTGCCGCCTTAAGTGTAACACAGGGTTATTTTTGTAGTCAGGAAACCTAAATTATCAATATATTTTAGCAAGTTCAATAAAGAGTAACCTAAAAATAAGTAGATATAAAGTATGATCGTAAATGTTCGTCACAATGATCAGAATTTATCCCATATGATTTGTAGGTTCCTGTATATTGTACGTCCTAAAATATGATAATAATCTAGAGTTGAGAATATGAAAAAAAAGAATCCTGTATTATCTGATATTAATATTATTACCATAGGAGAACTTATCCATGACATGAGTAGAAAAGAATCAATATTAAAATGTAGAAAGTATGTTTACTTTATTTTGATTTCAGCTGCCTACTGTACATCATGGCTGGAAAATGAGGTAAACAAACATTATGCATACTTTTCATATTATCCACAAAGATTACGTAATGCAAAGATCATATATAGCGAGCATCATTATCATTTACAGGTGTAAGAAAAGAAATATGACAACAACAGAGCCCAAAATTCAGAGGCAGTAACTATGACAAGCTGGAGAGACGCGGAAATTTGACTGTTTCAGCAAACATAATCGTACAAAGGCTCTAGCGGTTACTTGGTTCATCAACTCATAAGCAACTTTCACAACCGACGCCGGAGACAACGCGAGAGACGACGCCTCCTCCGGAAAACCCAGAAATTCAAGACGTGGGTTGGGTCAAACGATGAGCAGGACAGGAGGGTGTATGCAAGAGCCAGAAACCAAGCATAGGGCTGAAAAGGAGTTCCAGAGGCTGGTTGCAAGCGAGGTCAAGTCAAACCCAAAGGCGCTATACCGCTATGCAAAGTCGAAATTAAAAACGCGAGTAGGAGTATCAGACCTGAGGCTTGAAGATGGTAGTTACGCAGATTCTGACCAGGATAAAGCTGAGGCATTAAACAGCTTCTTTTCCTCGGTGTACACAAGAGAGGATACGATTAACCTTCCTGCGTTTAAGTACAGACGGTTCGACACAGCACTGACCCACATTGGGTTCACAGAAGAGGGTATTTGAAATAAACTATCAACCTTGTAAAGGATTGCCAACACGGTTTTATGCCGGGGCGCTCCTGCTTAACACAATTGCTCAAGGTATTGGATATTTGGACCCATATTCTGGAACGGGGTGGTAATGCTTAAATTTTGCCTAGGCTTTCGACAGTGTACCCCACAAAAGGCTGAAAATCAAACTGGAAGGGTACAGAATTTGGGGAAATGTCCTAGAGTGGATAGAGAAAACTTTCTACATGACAGCAAGCAGTGTGTGGTGATTAATGGCACAAAATCATCATCTGTACCTGTCACAAGCTGGGTACTACAGGGCAGTGTATTGGGCCCGCTGTTGTTTGTTTGTTTTATAAATGACATGCCTGACGTTGTACACTCCTCCATACACATGTTTGCCGATGACACCAAGTTATTTCGGGAAATCAAGAACCATGCAGACTGTGAGGAGCTGCAGAAGGGTCTCTGTGAGCTCCAAGAATGGTCGAAGAAATGGCTGCTGAGATTCAATGTCACGAAGTTTAAGAGGATGCACCTGGGGCGTATCAACGGTAAGGAGGCATCATATGTCCCAACGGGATGAAAAACTGCACTATTTGAGACTGAATGTGAGAAAGACCTAGGTGTGTTTGTTGACAATGAGCTGAAGTTCTCGGGCCATTGCGAGAAGAAGGTAAATCAGGCAAATTAATTATTGGGTCTTATAAGAAGGTCGTTCAGATATCTAGACGGTCCGTCCCTCGTAACGATCTTCAAGAGTGAAGTGCTTCCCCATCTGGAGAACTGTTACCCCGTCTGGTCCCCGAGATATGCTAGGGACTGTCAGTTGGTTGAAAATGTATGAGACTGGTGCCTGCACTTGCCTAGCTTATACTACAGACGAGCAAGAGGCGACCTAATTGAGGTGTATAAGCATCTCAAGGGGCACTACTCTGCTTCCTTATGCTCATCAATGGTGCCCTAAGAGAAACCCCTGCTCGCTGAAAATATGTCGACGACTCCACCATTGGGATCAGCGTCAACAATTCTGCTCCCAACTATACCGCCCTTCAGGATTTATTAAACAGTCTCCAAAACTGGGCCACCAACAACCATGTCACCATCAACCATACCAAGAACATGGTTATGCACATCAACCTCTCCTCCGACATTGTCCCACCTCCTTCCATTACTTTAGGTCCGAACACACTCCAGGTTGTAGATTCCACGAAGCTCCTCGGCGTTACCATAGACAACAAACTAAATTGGAAACCACACGTCAGTGAAGTTGTCAAATCCTCCAGTTTCCGTCTCCACCTCCTCCGCCGACTCAAGTCCCTCGGAGTTCCTGTACCCGAGCTCCTCAGTGTTTACACAACATTCATACTTCCCAAGCTCACCTATGCCTCCCCCACCTGGTCTTCCTCCTAAATGCCACACAACGTAAACACCTAGAAAAAGTGCAAAAGAGGGCATGCAAGATTATTCTCTCCCCTTCCTACTTCACATATCAAGAAGCGCTCAACACACTGACCCTTTCGACTCTCACTGACCATCACCACGACCTCATCTGCAAATTTGGTAAGAAGCTTCTACACCATCCTCGACACCGGCTCCTACTACCACCTGAGATCCCTAGTCCGAGAATTGCTGTTCGACACCACAACCGCATCCAGCCCATACGTGCACGAACTGATCACTATAAGAACAGCCCAGTCCCAACCATTGTAAAAATTATCAATAACTTGTAATAAACCAGTGTATTCACTCCCAGTAAACACTACTCCTTGCACTGTCACTATGTTGAAATGAACTGTAGTTTGAGCTTTTCCCCATCTAGTTATTATATGTCTTATTTGTGTCACTTATGTTACTTGTATATTATTTGTAATTCGAAACCCATTCCCTAAATATGTAACTGTATATTTTCAGCCTTCTGGCTGCCAAGCTCTTTCAATAAACCGTTAATTATTATTATTATTATTATTATTATTACTCAGTCGAGTGTCCTTACTTGGAGCTGGCGGACGCTCGCCCCACAATTGTTCACAGCTCAAGATTGAAGAAGCCGCAGGGCAAACTTTTTCGGAGTGAGAGTTGTAAACTCTTGGCACAATCTACCAGAAAGTGTTGTGACGGGACCGAGTGTGAGTTCTTTCAAGAACAGATTTGACCAACACTGGAGCAGGTTCAGGTACATTCAGGAGCCGGTGCATGCCCAGTACTTGCCAACAGTGTGTAACAGAGACGTGACCGATCGCCCAAGCAGCTAACGAGCCAATCAATTGGTGAAGAGGGTAAAAGAAAAAGAAAAGTAACAGAGACGTGACCGATTGCCCAAGCGGCTAACGAGCTGAT